TCACTTTTGGTCACCTCTCTTGCTTGAATATATGGTCCAGCAGAAAGGTTGGCGCTCCCTGAGCCCAGGCGGGGAAGGGACATTTGAAGGCACCACATTGTGCCTGTGGCTGGCCTGTCTAGAGGCAGTCACACCTCTGGGCTGGTCTTCCCCAAACCACCTTGGGCACAGGACATGTCCCTTGAGGTTCTTTTTTTGTTTTGTTTTGTTTTAAAGGACATCTTTTTATTGTGATGAAATCTACATTCACATAAAATTTACCCTTTTAACCATTTTTAAGTGTACAACTCAGTGGCATTAAGTACATTCACATTTCTGTGCAATCATCACCACCATCCACCTCCAGAACTTTTTTCATCTTCCCAAATGGGAAATCTGTACCCATCAAACTTGAGCCTCTTAGTGGCCCTCTATGGGGGCTCTGTCCACAGCAGCCCTAACTTGGTCATTATTCGAGAAAGAAACCACGGATCCAGGAAACAATTTAGTTGTGTTGCTGTTTATAGCTCAAAGCTTGTGGAAGTCCAGGCTGCTTTCCTTATCTGGACTTTGTTTTTCCTAAATGGGTCAAGCCCATCAGCTTGGCATCTTGGTCGCTCTGCTGTTTGGATCCACCTTCTTTGTGGGCCTAGTCTCCACCTTGGCCACACACCTCCTGCCACCCATGGAAGACAAGCCCTTTGTTCTCTAACCAGGTTTCTGTTTCTTGTTTTGGAAACTTTATATTCTTTCCTCGTGAAACCTGCTTCTGTCTCCCCTTCTAGAACAATCTTTCTTCTCTGAGCTCTCCTAGAGCATATTTGCCCATTTCTTAGACTACATCTTCTCCTCTTTATTTAATGGTGACTTCCTGGAGAGCAGGGTGGTGCTCTGTTCTCACCTGTATTTGCCCACTTAAGTGATAGGCAATAAATAGGGTCTCAAAAGATATTTATCCAGTCATGGAATTGGAAACTATGGATGTCAGTGACAGAAATGATAAGTGCTGGGTGTCCAGAATGCCCTTAAAGTGGGAAAGCATTTTGTTCTATTTCTCCCATTTATATCGGGTTGAAATCTGCCTTTTAAATAATAATAATAAAGAAGTAAATAGCATAGTTTAGAACCTAAGAAGGATTCCGGAGTTATGTTTGAGTTGGAAACCTACCTTCCATTTTATTGCTATGTAACCTCAGCAAGATAGTTTTTTCTCTAAGTTTCAGTTTTCTCCACTATAAAGCAGAGATAACATGTATTTCAGTGAACATAAAATGCACATTATTTTATACACTACGAAGAAAGAAAAATCGCTGTCAATTAAACAATGATATAATGCTTTCTGTGGCTTAGAGTTTTTATTTTATAGTTATTGAAATAGTCCTCTTTGATGTATTTGGGCTTTTGAAAAATCCTTTTTGAAAGGAAACTTAATCACTCAAGGTTTTCCTAAAACATCTTCATATTCAGAGTCTGAGTGTTCTGAAACACATTGTGCCTCAAAGTAGTCGGAGCTCACGTTTTTCACCCATTATCACCCTCTGCATCAGTGAAACTGTTGGTGATGCAACTTTTTTTTTCCCTCCAAGACTGAACTGCTGTTTTCTGTAGGGTCTTCCACCAAGCTGCAACACGGTTCTTCAAGTTTTAAATGATGGTGCTTTCCTGATCTTATAAATCCATTACGATAGATGGTTTTCAGACAATAGCCAGGTCTCCAATGATCCTGAAATGGTTTTTACTTTGAAACGCCAGGGCCTTGCAGATGGTCCACCAGGCCACTGAGAATGACAATCATGTAGTAACAGCTTCATCCCGACTACCTCCTGGCTGATGGCGATCTCAGAGATGTTGACATGGGGGGAAAAAGGGTGCATCTCAGAATAGATAACATAGGGCATAACTTCCCTCTTAGGGTTGTGGTAAGGTAGAGGAGAAAATGTTCATAACTGTTATTGTGGAAACATCATGGAGCCCCCTGGTAACAGTAACTATTATTGGGTTCCTGGGTGGCTCAGTCGGTTAAACATCTGCCTTCGGCTCCGGTCGTGATCCCAGAGTCCTGGGTTCGAGTCCCATCAGTCTCCCTGCTCAGCAGGGAGTCTGCTTCTCCCTCTGCCCCTTACCCCACTCATGCTCTCTCTCTCAAACAAATAAATAAAATATTAAAAAACCCCCCAAAACCCCCAATAACTATTATTTATGGAGCACTCACTAATGTGATATGCTTATTAATTTATGATGTAATTTTCGTATTAAAATTTTCCCTAATATATTTTTTCCTTTTTTTTTGTTGAGGCATGATTTATATTCAGTGAAATGCACAGGTCTTTAGTGCCCAGTTGTATGAATTTTGATACCTACTGTCTGCAACCCTATCAAGATATTTTCATTCCTCCAGAAACATCACCCTTGTGCCCTTTCCCAGTCATCACCCCCCTTCCCCGGACAGCCTCCGTTCTGATATCTTTCACCATGGATCCGTTTTGCCTGTGCCAGAACTTAGTATCAATGGATTCATTTTTTTTTTTTTTTTTTTTTTTGAGATTCCCCCATGTTGTTGTGTATATGAAGAGCTGGTGCCTTTCTATGGCTGAATATTCTTCCATTGTGTAGATGGGACCCTGTTTCTGCTTTTCTCCCTTTGGTGGACATTTAGGTTGTTTTATTTGGGCTACCACTATGAACATTCGAGTACAACTATTTTTGGATTACATGTTTTCATTTCTCCTGGGTAAATACTTGGAGGTAGATTTTTTGGGTCCACACACAGGTGTATATTTAACTTTATGAGAAACAGACAGAAGTCTTCTCAAGGTGGTTGTGCCATTGACACTCCCATTACGTACAAGAGCTCCACAGCTCCGCATCCTTGCCAGCTAGACAGCTTTGGTCTGGTTCATTTGAGCCATCTGAATGGTTTTGTAGTGGAGTCTCTATGACTTTAAGTTGTATTTTTCTGGTAACTAATAACCACTGACACGTTTTCATATGATCACCAGCCATTTGCATATCTTACACTGTAAAATGCCTGTTAAATCAGTTGCCCATTTTTCAGTGGGGTCATTGGTGTTTTAATTATTGGGTGTAGGATTTGACTCCTTTGTCAGATATACGAGACCAGTGCTCTAACCCCTGAGCTACGGAGCCTGTCAGATATACATATTATGAATATTTTCTCCCAGTCTGTGGCATGCCTTTTCATTTTCTTAGTGGTATTTTTGATGAGTAGAGGTTTTTAATTGTGATGAAGTCCATTTATCTCTCTCTTTTTTTTTTGTAGCTAGTGTTTTTTGGGTCCTAATCAAAGTTTTGCTTATTCCAAAGTTAGAAAAGTATTCTATACTTTATTCTATAAGCTTTATAGTTTTTGCTGCTACATGTAGGTCTGTGATCTATCTCTAATTAAATTTTGTGTATGGTTTGAAGTATGGATGAAAGCTCATGTTTCCCCATTTCAGTAGCTAGTTGTTCAATTACCATGTGTTGAAAATATAGTTGACCCATGAACAATGTGGGAGTTAAGGGTGCCATCCCCCCACACAGTCAAAAATCTGAGTTTAAGTTTTGACTTCTCCAAAATGGAACTGCTAGTAGCCTACTGTTGACCAGAAGCCTTACTAATAACATAAGTAGTTGATTAACATATATTTTGTATGTTATGTGTGTTACCTACTGTATTCTTACAACAAAGTAAGGGAAAGAAAAGAAAATGTTATTAAGAAAATCATAAGGAAGAGAAAATATATTCACAATACTGTACTGTATTTATTAAAAAAAATCCACATACACATGGACACGCACAGTTCAAACCTGTGGTGGTCAAGGGTCAGTTGTACTCTCTTTTCCTTATTGACTTACTTTGGCACTTTGGTTGAAAATCAATTGACTGTGTGAGTGTGGTCTACTCCTGGACTGTCTATTCTATTCCACTGATCTGTTTTATCTATATATCTATATGCCAATGCCATACTATCTTGATCTGTAGCTTCAGCATTAATTTGAAATCAAGTAATATATATTCTCTTCATTCTACCTTACAAGGATTTTTTTTTTTGGCTGATCTAGACCTTGTGCATTTTATTTTATATTTTAGAATAAGCTTGTCAGTTTCTACAAAAGACCATCATGAGATATTGATTGGAATTGTATTGAATGAATAGATGAATTTGAGGAAGATAGAAATGTTAAAAATATTCAATTTTCCAGTATATGTATATATATAGTATTCTGTCTTTCTGATTGCTTAAGTCTTTTTAAATTTCTCTCAGAAGTTTTTAAAATGGTTTTCTGTGTGGAGGTCTTGCACATGTTTCTTTAAATTTATCCCTAAGTATTTTGAGCTTTAAAATACCTTGTAAATGGTTTTTAAAAAAAAATCATCTTCTACTTACTTGCTGTTGATATTTAGAAATATAATTGCAACCTTGCTAGATTCAATGCATGATATATTTTGCTTAGTGCTTTACAGAATTTCACGTTTATTCTTGAAGCCACCTGATGCAGGTGTTAGTACAATCATATTTTATAAGAAGTTTGCCCTGAAATTACATATGTTAATTTCTTTGCTCAAGGTCATGCAGGTTGAGTAACAGGAGGACTAGGATTTGAATTTAGGTCTAGTCTGACTCCAATGGCTAGTCCCTTTCCACTCTACTATAATATTTCAACTGTTTGACGTTTGGATATTTGAATGGAGTCATACCACATACCATGTGGTTTCCCTGGATTTCACTGGGACATTTTTGTTTCATTGTGTTTCACAAGGACACAAATTAGCTAATGGAAGCTTTAAAACAGACCTAACAAAAATAAAGTGATAAAGAGACTGGTGGTTTTCCCAGTTGAAGGAGACAGTCAGTGTTTTTCCATATTCCTCCATGGAAGACTATTCATGCAATTGGATGCAGTTGCAAAGCTCAGCCCTCTTTCTCCATACTGTTGGTGCACATTAGCTGTTGCTAAATCTTCCATCCATGTGTGGGGATGCTGTCAAACTTGTTTTCCCTCCTTCTCTCTTGCAGGAAGCCATTTCTCTACAGCCAAGGAGCTCACAGAGGAGATTAGATCATTAACAGCAGAAAGGGAAGGGCTGGAGGGACTCCTGGACAAGCTTCGGGTGCTGAGTTCCAGGAATGTCCAAAAGCTGGGCAGTGTTAAGGAAGATTACAGCCGACTGAGAAGGGAGCTGGACCAGGGGGAAGCTGCCTATGGTAAGTAGTCACAACTGTTGCTTGGTGAACTATTCATGTTATTGATTGTACTACGTGGCCAGGCAGGATGTTCTGTGTCTCATGTGAGCATAGATGTGAAAGGCATCCTGGAGCACATGACACTTTTCCTGGAGGATTTTTTTTGGCAGGAGCCTTGGCAAATGGGGTAGAATTACTTGTCAGCTTTTATTTTGCTATTCACATGTGACATCTTTTCTTTTTCTGTCTTTTCTCCCCCTCCTCTGCCCTGGATTTGCTAATGGCCTTGTGATTATTTAGAGCAATCTCTCCCTTGGCACAGGTCTTGAGAATTTTCTCTGTTTGACAATTATGTTCCTTTTGTTCCTTGGCTCAGTCTTCTGGCTTGCACAATCACAGACAAGAGCCTGCTGACTCAGAAAACTGAATAAAGACCATGAAGTGGCTCTTCTGTGTGTGAGTTTTTCCTGAGAGCTTCTTTCTCCGGAAGAATGGTGTAGAAGAGGCCAGTGCTGTCTTAACTGAAGTCTCTGCCTGTCGGAGCAGTTACCGTACTCTTGTGTTCTTTTCCTTTTCCAGTTGTTAAGAGTAACTGAGGTCACCTTGAGGTTTGCTCCCTGGAGGACAGTCTTAGAAGATGCTTGTTCAGTCTGAATTGATAGAGTAAAAACTTATTTCTTTAAAAAAATGTAAAGAATTTACAGTGTTTCAGTTTCTAATCAGAAGAATGAAATCATGAGAAATAAATGCAGATTTAAAATATGTTAGTTGCTAGAACCTGTTTTTTTTTTACTGGTAAAATGAGAAGAATATCCAGCTCATAGGCTGATTAAGCGGTACAGATTAAATGAGGTAACTTATAAAGATTTTGAGGTGTGTGTGTGTGCACTCTTGGATTTCTTCTAGGAAGTAGAAGCTGCTGGAGGCTAGAGGTCGTACATAGTATATCATGGTCCCTAAATGAATGTTTACTAGGAAAATGAAAGACCTATCTACTAATAAGTAACTATATTTACAAAGCATTCTTACTTAAAAAGAAATAAGGAAAAAATGGGAATGTTAGGTAGCCACATTTGAAATACGGCTATTTGAAAATACTCCACAGATTGAAGTAAATGAAGATTAGTATTTAAAACCAGGTAAAGAAGTATGAAATTAGTTAGCAGAAATTAGGTGTATCTCTTCACTATGAATAAATTGTGTTTGAAAGGCTTACTCAGTTGTAGAAATAGGTTTTAGTTATTTGAATCACAGATAGGATACTCAGTTGTTACGGTGTCTTCTTCCCAATGGGCAGGCCTAACCTGGCTAAACAACTGAGAGCTTCTTATCTTTCTTTCTCCACTTCTGTAGGCCAAGCCTTCTTTTCTGCCAAATATGTAGAGACTGTACCTTTGAGTCTGACTATATAACTAGGGTACTGGGGGATAACAACACTTTTTCCTAAGATGTGATGCTGTGCTTCATGAGTCATGATAGGAATGATCATTGGATATTTTAAATGAATTTTAGCTATAGACTTTTTAAATGTCTAAACAATAAAAACTATGAAATTTCTCATGTTGTCACTCCATAATTTTTGGCACAATATGGGGGAATCTATTGTATCCGAGAAAAAAGAAGATGTGAACAAATTCGGACAAATTTAGTCAAGCAATATTTTCATTTGAACAGTTGAGCTCTTGAAAGCCATATGTATCTCTTAAAAAGAAAAAATGAGCCATGTAGTACTTTTTGAATCTCATCCATATTTTTTGAATCTCATCCTTGTCACTTTACTAAGTATCTTCAAAATGATGAATAAAAAAACATAAACAAATGGAATGAGAGATTGTTACCATCAATGATTCTAAGCTGCAGATGGCTAGTTACTATTGTGAAAGAGTTCTTTATGTTTTAGACTTGGATTTTGCTGGATCAGCTACCCTTTCCCCATGCTTTAGGCTGAAGGTAATTCTTAACCAATCTAAGGTGACTTGGCATTAGGTCAACCAAATTAATAGTCTTGGGTTGATGAGAGTAATGGGAGATAAATAAATAAATAATGAATTCCTTAGTAGATTGAAGCTTTGTATTTATTGAAATGCAATAAAACTAGGCCAAAGTCCATAGTTTGCCATTTGTTGGCTTTTGAGAATTAAAGATTTAGAGGGAGCTCTAAATGTAGAGTTTTAAATGTAGAGCAAATACAAAGGAATAGTATGCATATGCGTGTATGTCCCATGAGCTGATTCTTCTTATCCTTAGATAAAATGTTTTAAAATAAGACTATTTAAGAAATAAGCAATATGTAGAATTCTTTAATAAACCAGATTTTGGTTTCTAGCATGGTTGCAGAATGTGGCAACCATGGATAAGTAACTCTCTGATGGTCAGGGACCCAGGCTCTTCTATTTTGTTCATCTGTGCCCCTGGACAGGTAACGTTTGGTCCAAGATGGCTGACCCAGCCACGTGTATGTCCAAGCCCAGCCAGGGGTTCTGGTTCTATAGCGGAAGGAGAAATTTGCAGTTTTGGGGAGCAATTAGCAGTCTCTCTCATACAGAAAACTCTTATCGATGGGAAGTGTTTTGCTAATCATTTACAATATTATTACATTTTCTGTGGCTGGCTCGATTGAAATCAAAGAAAAGCACTGTCCTTATGTTTCATTTGTTTTGTCACAGTATCCAGCATGGTGTCTTTGAAAATAGTAAATATACCATAAGTATTTGTTCATTTAATGGGGCCAGATGTTAAAATGAAACATTCCTTTATTTCCATATTATTCCTTTACTCCTCTACTTTGAATTACAGACCCAGACCTTGGATCTTCTTCTTCTTCTTTTTTAATTCTTCAAATTCATTTTCTAATTTAGTGAGAACAGAGGTAAGTTTGATTGTCTTTCGTGGAAGATGCTTGAGTTGTCTGAGTGGGATATTCATATTGGGGTGTGAGCAGACAGAACAAAATGATGAAAAAGTCCTGAAATGTGCCTGAATAATCAAGGGCAAAGGGAGACAGAAATCATCACTGAATCCATTGACTTTGTCACAGTGATACACAGTCTGTGAAGAGATAAGAAGGGGGTGTGTTTTAACCTGTATCAGCTCTTCTTAAGACTTCAGGAGAACACGTTTGAATTCTGAGCAACTTTAAGTACAGTGAAATAGAATGAAATGCTTTCAACCCCTGATTACTTGTGGAGATTAACTATAAACCTTTAATTATTGTGGATTTCATTTTTTTTAAGGGAGGCTGAGATTAAAAAAAAACAGTAACTTTTTTAGTTTGCTATATCTGCTTTTCAGCAAAAAGACAACCCTGAGATTTATATAAATTTTTCCATCCCTTGTGTATAAATTGATAATCTGTATTGTACTTTATTAATATTGTTGATTTCGCACTATAACTCAGATATAAAGGAAGCAGACGTCAAGGGGAGAGATTTAATCACAGAATAATCAGGGCTAGAATTTTAAATAGGACATCATTAGCATGTTAATGAATTTCCCCACTTTATACCAGCTGCCTGAATAGAAAAGATACTGCAGATGTAGCTCAAAAATCTGGCAGGGTCTGTGGCCCACCGAGCTGTCAGGAATTTGTATAGAGGGTCCGTAAAGTACGTAAAGGGATTCTCTGTGCAGCTATCAAATGGCGGGATTTCGTTTTTCCTGGGAGTGATGGCTGGCTGTTTTCAGCTTTAACTCATTTGCCTTTCAGTGAGTAAGAACAAGTGGAGGACAGATGAGGATCAGTTTTTTAGTGTAATAAAGTTGGAGGGAAGTCAATTTTTTTAGTTATGGTTTGGGGCTAGTTCAGTACTTCCCCCTTATCCACAGTCTTGCTTTCTGTGGTCTCGGTTACCTGCAATCGACCCTCGTCAGGAAGATGATCCCCCTGATGAATCATCTAAAGGTCAGTGGTAGCCTAACGCTGTGTCACTCCCCTCACTTCATCCCATTACGTAGGCATTTCATCACCTCACATCATCACAAGAAGGGTGAGTACAACACAAGATATTTTGAAAGAAAGAGCAAGACCACATTCACAAAAGTTTTATTACAGTGTAATTATTCTATTTTATTATTGGTGATTGTTGGTCATCCCTTACTGTGCCTAATTTGTAAGTTAAACTTTATCATAGGTATACACGTATAATAAAAAATGTAGTATACAGAGGGTCCAGTACTCTGCGGTTTCAGGCATCCATGAGGGTCTTGGATGCATCTTCTGTGCATAAGGGAGGACCTACTTCTGATTTAGATTAGAAAGACCGTAGGTCCACGCTGACATCATCCTGCCCTGACTTTTGGACTACTGCATAACTTTTGAGCTTGAAATAGCTGAGGGAAGGAAGTATGACATTCTCTAGTGAGATATGTGTTCCTTGAATTCTGAAAGTCCACAGGTGAAGCTTCTTTTAGAAGTCACCTCACACCTGTTAAGAAAAGATCTTCAGTATAGAGATCCTGCACTTTACAAGTTCTGCATATATAGGCAGTAACTCCCTTTCCACATTTATTGGATGTATTTAGAAGAAATTTTTTTTAAATAATTTTTTATTGTTTTGTTAACCACCATACATTACATCATTAGTTTTTGATGCAGTGTTTCATGATTCATTGTTTGTGCGTAACACCCAGTGCTCCACGCAGAATGTGCCCTCTTTAATACCCATCACCAGGCTAACCCATCCCCCCACCCCCCTCCCCTCTAGAACCCTCAGTTTGTTTTTCAGAGTCCATCGTCTCTAATGGTTCGTCTCCCCCTCCGACTTACTCCCCTTCATTCTTCCCCTCCTGCTATCTAGAAGAAATTTTGAAGAAAAATTAGAACAGAAGAATAAAATTTGCATGCCGTGTGTGTGTGTGTGTGTGTGTCTGTGTGTCCGTGTATGGGGAGGAAATGGAGAAAACATATAATGGAGATGTAAACAACACAATTAACAAAAAAAATAAAATTTGAAAGTTGAGATGGAAGAAAAGCTAATGACAAGTGTTAATTATTCTGTTTGAGAATATGATGTGATAATGAGCTTCCTAG